CCTATAGTTTTCAGCAGGACATAAAAGTGTCTAGAATTAGGACTTAAAATATACTCTAATATTCAGTCTATATACTCACAAAGTTTACTTCAATTCAGGACACCAAAGCCCTCCCCAATGCAGGATACGCCTGGAAAGCAACTCACCGTCCAAATTGTTGGACTGGAGTGGGTAGAGGATTACAAATATTTACGAATATTAAAAAAAGTTTTCTTTTATGTTCATGAAAGAAAGAGATCTCAGCAGACTTAATGGCAGTTATAGTTGTGAATTACTACCTCCACGCAATTAGCAATAGATCTACGAAGATCATCACAAGACCATGTGAATCCAAATACTTACAGCATCACTAACAGTCAAGATCTTCAGGAAGGAAATCGGATGAAGTTTGCAAGGAAGACTCATCTTGTGTTTCCGCTCACGTGTTGATCACAGGTTGCATAGTAATCTAGCCGCCTCCGGCAGTAACAATCAAGTCAGACTCGCAAAGGTTTTTTTTTTCAAACTGGCGCGTGAACCATGAAACGTGGATGACCGTTTAACATAACGACCTTAAGCCCCACCAGAGCCTCCGACAAGAAAAACGATCTGACTTAACTGTATCGAACAGGTCAACACCCCTTGCCCTGGTATAGAACCCCGTGCCCTGGTATAGAACCCCGTGCCCTGGTATAGAACCCCGTGCCCTGGTATAGAACCCCGTGCCCTGGTATAGAACCCCGTGCCCTGGTTTAGAACCCCGTGCCCTGGTTTAGAACCACGTGCCCTGGTTTAGAACCCCGTGCCCTGGTTTAGAACCCCGTGCCCTGGTTTAGAACCTCGTGCCCTGATATAGAACCCCGTGCCCTGGTATAGAACCTCGTGCCCTGATATAGAACTAGATCTGAAACTGACAAAATTAAGGAAACAGTTCTCCCAAAACGCCACAAAAAGTGACGCTTTTTACGCAGTGAACCACATCACAGCCCTCTGAACAGTCCCACACTGTTCACAGGCTCTGAACCTCTGTTCAGAGGTTGAAGGGTGGCTCTGTTCACCAACGAACTACCCATACTGCCGCAGCTGTCTATTCCCCCAACGTGTTCCATTAGACAAGGAATAACTAGTAATAACTGTACACTTCAGAGCGAAATGTTTGCTTATAAACTGTGTCTTGAACATGGATATAACAGTCGAATTAATTAAATTACAATCAACTTACAAAACAACCCAATCAGACTCTTAAGAAAAACTATCCCATCAGATAATGAATACTTAATCACCTCTGTAATTCAGATACTCGTCCACCAGCCCATCATAAAAAGAATTTCTCAAATACTAGGTAATCCAGCAGCCTGAATGTATATGAATGACAAACACGCTACGCACGACTCACAGCTGATTACTTTCGAACTTTTCCCGAACACTGCTTCGCTCATTTTCTATGTTCGAATCTCACAATGCTTCGTCCACGTACTATAAATACAAATAATTCAGCGTGACCTAATAGAAAGGCTTCGTCTTATTTCTAAAGGTTGAAACTGCATATCTTTAAATGCTTCACCCACACACTGCAAATATCTAACCAAGACCTAACTATTCGTAAAAATTATAATATACGTTAATTTGTATTTATATTTGAGACAAAAATGGTGCTGAGTTACACAAGACATTCAGATTTAGTCATTCGTGTATGACTTCGGTCACAGCTTTGAACGAGCTTTGAACTTTGAAAAGGAGAGGTTTAAAAATTGCCAATATAACCAATGAACAACCAGACCTACGCTGCGCCGAGCAATACTCAAAATATAACAAATATTAACTATTTGAGGAAAGATCATTTTTTTTCATGCGGACACATTCATGTATCCACGTCGTGACACGTGACACAGCTTGGATGAAGCCAACGACTGTGTACACATCTGTGGCTTGCAGTGTCCCACCAGAGGACACTGCAAACGCAGGAGATGAGTCACAATAACGTGGCTAAAGTAAGTTGACCAGACCACACACTAGAAGGTGAAGGGACGACGACGTTTCGGTCCGTCCTGGACCAATCCTGGACACAATCGTTCGGACCGTCCTGGTCACAGTCGACTTGAGAATAATTCAGGACGGACCGAAACATCGTCGTCCCTTCACCTTCTAGCGTGTGGTCTGGACAACACTGCGAACATATTCCAGCTTCTAACCAGTTTACCCAAATTCCTTCAGTGAATCATCAATCACGTCACAATGTCGGGAAACAGAACGTCATTTTAGAGCTCTACCAGCGCCACGAAATAATAAGCTAATCGTGTATAGTTTACGTATTAACAATGGGACGTTTTGCTACAGGTGCTTACACACGCATTGCTAATTACAGTGATAATTACTACAAATATAATATCAACTCACCTCACAGCCAGCCAGCCAGCCGGGGCGCATCCGATCCACTGCTCATTGTTGCTCTTATCCGGCCTCTTTAACTAGTACGTCTAATTATACACGTTATGGTCCCCCCTCGACGTACAAAGTAGTATGAAAAGCAGCCGGTCAAGTTTTCTATAACCAGGGGTAGGTTTAGGTTAGGTGGGTGGCTTGGGGTTGCACGTTTCTGGTAAAGTTAGCACGTTGCATTTTGTCCGTTACGGCAAATCAAGAGAACGGGCCGGACGCCGCTATATCAAGAATAACAACAACAAGACCTTGCAAGCACGCCCCGTGTTTCAGGGAATGACTTCCAGTCACCTTAACGGAGAGAAAGAGTGCGATGCTCCTGCTAGCAAGGTCTGTGGACAACTAAACTAACCCACCAGCAACGACGTGCTTTATAACACCTCTCACTCACCCACAACTCCGGGGCCTCGGGTCAGAGAGGCAAAGGTGACGAACAACCCTAAAACGATTGTCAGTACGCGCGAACGACCTGCAGTCCGTTTAGTGGTGGTTGTGGTGCAACCCGTCCATCTAACAGAACGTCGCATTTGGACGTATACTCTAAGGCCAAAAATCGTCGTACTAGAAAATGGTAGCGGCTCGCGAAAGTGACAAACTGTCCCGTTTTCTGTTTTTTTGGGGTCCCCTCAAGTAAGTTAGAATAAGGGCACTCTAGTACGACAGTTTCTTGACGTTGGGGAAGCTTTAGGAGGACGGGTTGGACGGTGGTTTGTTGGCCTTAAGACCTGTCAACCTCCGCAGGGTGGGCTGTCAAGACCAGGATACTAAGTAGGACTTATAAGCCAACAAAATCATACTTTAGTTTGGAGCGAAATTCAGGACAAAAAAAAGTAAACTTACAGTGTATACACCCACCAAAAAGTATACCACTCACTGTATCTATACAGAGGGGGGGGGGGGTAGACTTAGGATGATATTACCTCCTTTGAAATTGTCGTGACTTCAATCATTTATTCTGATCACACCTGATTAAAAATATATATTTTTAGCAGATAAAGAAGAAATTTCCTGTTTGCCATCAAACCCTTCAATGTTTAAAATTGGTTTATGCATATGAATGGATAGAGCTGTGCTGCTGCTGGAAGAGGGAAGGAGGAAGAAGGAGAAAATTGGGAAGTGAAGGAGGAGCAAGAGAAGGATAAATAGGAAGAGAAAGAAGATAAATAGGATTCAAAAGAGTAGCAATAGTAGTAGTAGTATTACTAGTAACATGAATATGAAAAGAAGGAAGGGAATGGAAGGGAAGGGGGAACTATTAGCGGAAAATGCCAAGCCATTACGATTATTTAGCACTGGGAAAGGGGGGTCAGGATAAGGACGCGGGGAAGGAATGGTGTCCAAAGTCTTGGACGATCTGGGGGATTGAACGCCGACCTGCACGAAGCGAGACTGTCGCTCTATCGTCCAGTACTAGGAGAAATAAAAGGAGGAGGAGGAATAGGAGCAGAACTACACCAAATAAACCAACTGCAGCGATTGGCTATAATTCCCCACCCATCCACCACCTATCCACCACCACCCATCCACCACCTATCCCCCCACTAAACACCGCGACAACACACACACACACACACACACACACACACACACACACACACACACACACACACACACACACACACACACACACACACACACACACACACACTGGGGCCTAGGGGCCTCGTAGCCTGGTGGATAGCGCGCAGGACTCGTAATTCTGTGGCGCGGGTTCGATTCCCGCACGAGGCAGAAATAAATGGGCAAAGTTTCTTTCACCCTAAGTGCCCCTGTTACCTAGCAGTAAATAGGTACCTGGGAGTTAGTCAGCTGTCACGGGCTGCTTCCTGGGGTGTGTGTGTGTGGTGTGGGGAAAAAAAAAAAAAAAAAAAAGTAGTTAGTAAACAGTTGATTGACAGTTGAGAGGCGGGCCGAAAGAGCAAAGCTCAACCCCCGCAAAAACACAACTAGTAAACACACACACACACACACACACACATACACACACACACACACACACACACACACACATACACACACACACACAAACACCAATAATAACTCCAGTGTGCTGCTATATAGAGCCCCACCGGGAGGCCTTTCACACAAACAGACCAGGAAGCAATTTCGGATGATTAAAACGACACTTAAAACCCGGTTCAGCGAAATAATACAACCAAGTGTACGATACGTGTCCGGATGAACAGCAGCAACCGGTTGGTCCCCACCACACAACCCTCCGGACCTCGTAACTACGAAACGCCACGAATCTTGGTTAATCCGAATGACGTCACATATATGCCTTTTTTACAGGATTTAAGTATTTTAAAAGCTATTCACATTCACTGTCATCCGCTGGAATCCCAAATCCGGTTATAGATCTAAGAAAAAATAATTGATTGCTGAAGGATTAGTGTTGCTGGAAGCTGGAAGGTCGACACGTGAATTTTACTGGAAAATCGACACGTAAGTTTTACTGGAATTTGCGTTTGATTAGGGTGGAGGGTGTCAAGTATGTTGAATCACCCTTAACCAGGGTGGTTATAGTGAAAATCGCGCCTGAAAAACGGTCGAAAGATCGGGGTTTGCTTCAGGGGGTGAAGATGCGCATCAGATCATGGCGGAGGATGTCAGGGATTTCAGGGCGACGGACATCATCAGGGTTCATCAAGCGACATAAGGGCAAGTCAAGAGCCTCGAGAGTTTACACTACTTTGTAATGTAACGTAGTCACTCTTAGTTAGCTCAAGATTCCCTTGCTTCTTCCTGTTGTCCTAGGAGCTCTGTTTTTCTAGGAGCCCTTATGGCCAAGGAGATCTGTTGGATTAGAAACGATCTTTGATCTGATAGCTCCTTCTCCTCCTCTTCCTGTCGCCTATGGAGGACCCCCAAAAAGACTTGCATCAGGACCATATGGCACTGTTCTCGAAGTGGCAGTTAGCGAGGGAACTACATGAGGCGCGGTAACCATTCAGGTCATCTTGAAGACGCTACCAGATTTCTGTTTGAGTCGCCAGCACTTCTTTCTTATCTTTGGCTCACAAGGGGAGGAAAAATTGTTGTTTATATAATACCTTGAATTCTTAATGGGTAAAAATTAAAAAAAAATGTGAAATGAGTTTATCGAAAAAAAATCGTCGAAGCTAACTCACTAAAAAAATTGAAAGCAAATATATAAAAAAAAGACACAAAAGTGCGTAGTCATTGCATTAAAGTTCTCATGGTTCGATAAGGCGGGGCTTAGGAGCTGGGTGAAGCACGACACACCAACCACATCTAGTTGAGTATACACACACACACACACACACACACACACACACACACACACATACACACACACACACACACACACACACACACACACACACACACACACATACACACACACACACACATACACACACACACACATACACACACACACCACACACACACACACACTCACACACACACACACACACACACACACACACATACACACACATACACACATACACACACACACATACACACAACACACACACACACACACACACACACATACACACACACACACACACACACACACACACACACACACACACACACACACACACACACACACACACACACACACACACACACTCACACACACACACACACCCTTGTAACCAAACACAAACACCCAGACACAAGCAGGGGAAGCAAGACAAAGCACATCCCACAGTAATGCCACAACACCCACCATTAAAGCGACCTTACATCAACACCCCTCCCTCCCCCCCCCAAAAAAAAAAACACCCAAAAAAAACACACGAAATAATATCAATAAAAACCGTCAGAACTAACTGGAACTCCAGCCCGCAAAGTCCCCCAACATTTTCATGGAGGCAACTTTCGCTGCGTATAAATAGAGGAATCCAATAGTTATGTGAAGTGTCTTGTGCGCTGAATATTCCATATGACTTTTTTATATTTTGGGGGGCTCAGGCAGCAGCCGTGATCTGTTATTGGTGTTGTGTGATCAGGTGTGTGTCGGGGTTGTGTAGTCAGGTGTGTGTGGGGGTTGTGCAGTCAGGTGTGTGTCGGGGTTGTGTAGTCAGGTGTGTGTGGGGGTTGTGTAGTCAGGTGTGTGTGGGGGTTGTGTAGTCAAGTGTGTGTCGGGGTTGTGTAGTCAGGTGTGTGTGGGGGTTGTGCAGTCAGGTGTGTGGGGGTTGTGTAGTCAGGTGTGTGTGGGGGTTGTGTAGTCAGGTGTGTGTGGGGGTTGTGTAGTCAGGTGTGTGTGGGGGTTGTGTAGTCAGGTGTGTGTGGGGGTTGTGCAGTCAGGTGTGTGGGGGTTGTGTAGTCAGGTGTGTGTCGGGGTTGTGTAGTCAGGTGTGTGGGGGTTGTGTAGTCAGGTGTGTGGGGGTTGTGTAGTCAGGTGTGTGTGGGGGTTGTGTAGTCAGGTGTGTTTGGGGGTTGTGCAGTCAGGTGTGTGGGGGTTGTGCAGTCAGGTGTGTGGGGGTTGTGTAGTCAGGTGTGTGGGGGTTGTGTAGTCAGGTGTGTGGGGGTTGTGTAGTCAGGTGTGTGTCGGGGTTGTGTAGTCAGGTGTGTGTGGGGGTTGTGCAGTCAGGTGTGTGGGGGTTGTGTAGTCAGGTGTGTGTGGGGGTTGTGTAGTCAGGTGTGTGTCGGGGTTGTGTAGTCAGGTGTGTGTCGGGGTTGTGCAGTCAGGTGTGTGGGGGTTGTGTAGTCAGGTGTGTGTCGGGGTTGTGTAGTCAGGTGTGTGGGGGTTGTGTAGTCAGGTGTGTGTCGGGGTTGTGTAGTCAGGTGTGTGTCGGGGTTGTGCAGTCAGGTGTGTAGGGGTTGTGTAGTCAAGTGTTGTGTTGTATAACTCAAATTATTTAAATCATAATTTTAATCTTACTTTTTAAATTTCATTAGTAATTTAATCTATTCATATTACTATTCACACAAAGAAACCCCTATTAACATGATGTATCAATGAGAACACCACTTAGAGCCATGAGAAGGGGGAGGGATTCGAACCTGCAACCACTAGAACATCCCCAATCACACTCCTTAAACCCCTGAACCATGATATACGTTAATAAGTAATTGTAACCTGGGATTTAAATGAATCTCCCCCTAAGGTATCTTCGAGGCCTCGAGTCCATACCAGATTAAGTCCCCACACATACACACAAGAGGGTGTAAGAGGAGGGGGAATGTGTGTGTGGTATCATGTTGATGTGGTATCAGCTGGATACCACATGTTATCGTCATCACCACCACCACCACTAGTATAATCACTATCATCGTCACCCCCCCCCCCCCACTACCACCATCACCATCATCACCACCACTACCATCACCACCATTACCATCACCATCACTACCATCACCACCACTACCATCACCATCACTACCACCACCACCACTACCATCTCCATTATCTTCACCATGACTACCACCACCACTACCACTACCATCACCATCACTACCACCACCACCACCACTACCACCCCACAATAATAATACTAATAATAATAATACCAATACACCAGACTCTGCCACACACACACCTGGCCAGGCCTTGATAAACCTCTCAATCATCGCCTTCTTCACCTGGCCAGCTCAGCCAATTATCTCAGCTACTTAAGGCTAAGTGGAGCTAATTACCATAACAAGGCGTTTAATACCATTGATTTACCGCCTTCTCGATGCTTCAGGAGGAAGAAAGACGTATTCTTGTTCGTGCGCCACTGGCGATAATCCTGCAGTTTACCTCCGGTGTTCTGAACCTTATGGTCTCTTAATTTAAGCCAGAAATACTTCGTTACCAGAAATGTAAAAAGTATAAACAAAAAAAAGTGAAGCCGCACTGATAGACTCTAAATAGGCACAATAGTGAAAATATTATAAACTGAAGGCATCCATGAGTCTTAGGAGACTATGGAGTGGCCTCTCCAGGGCGCAAAGCCAGAGTACGTTGATATGGAGGAGAAGCTGTTACCCATGCAGCAGGTCGTCTTCCCCTCTCTCCACGGCGCCGAAAGTCTCCAATGGAAAGGCAAACGCCAATAGGATTGGTTCCAGCGCCGTCGCAGGAACTGAGAGTTCCGGAGTTGACCTCAAAGTTGGTGAAAGAAGGCACACAGGGACTCCAAACCCGGAGACCGCCGTGGTCGGGGCCGGGGAAGAACCGCCCCATCAAGGGCAAGTCTCCTGAAGCAGAGCCTGGGGGGCCGCACGAGCCCCAGGAGGTGGACGTCTCGGTCCCGCACCTACGGGTCCCTGACAGAGACCGTCACGCCGAACCTCAAGACTTGGGAGATCTATAGACGAATCACAGGACCTCGGAGACCTATAGACGAATTACAGGACCTGGGAGACCTATAGACGAATCACAGGACCTGGGAGACCTACAGACGAACCACAGGACCTGGGAGACCTACAGACGAACCACAGGACCTGGGAGACCTACAGACGAACCACAGGACCTGGGAGACCTACAGACGAACCACAGGACCTGGGAGACCTACAGACGAACCACAGGACCTGGGAGACCTACAGACGAACCACAGGACCTGGGAGACCTACAGACGAACCACAGGACCTGGGAGACCTACAGACGAACCACAGGACCTGGGAGACCTACAGACGAACCACAGGACCTGGGAGACCTACAGACGAATCACAGGACCTGGGAGACCTACAGACGAACCACAGGACCTGGGAGACCTACAGACGAACCACAGGACCTGGGAGACCTACAGACGAACCACAGGACCTGGGAGACCTACAGACGAACCACAGGACCTGGGAGACCTACAGACGAACCACAGGACCTGGGAGACCTACAGACGAACCACAGGACCTGGGAGACCTACAGACGAACCACAGGACCTGGGAGATAACCTATAATAACGTCGTTCATTATAGGGTATTTTCTGAGCGTAATATTAAAGTTTGATGCTAAAGTCATTCGGGACCTTTTTTTTTATCTCTTATTTTTGTCGATAATTTTTTTTTTGGTCCTGTGAACTACTTGCTTTGTTCTCGCTCTCTCTTTTACACTCGTTTATTAAACCTTTCTTTTCTAGATTGTTCACTCTCTCTCTCTCTGTCTCTCTCTCTCTGTCTCTCTCTCTGTCTCTCTGTCTCTCTCTCTGTCTCTCTGTCTCTCTCTCTGTCTCTCTCTCTCTCTCTCTCTCTCTCTCTCTCTCTCTCTCTCTCTCTCTCTCTCTCTCTCTCTCTCTCTCTCTCTCTCTCTCTCTCTCTCTCTCTCTCTCTCTCTCTCTCTCTCTCTCTCTCTCTCTCTCTCTGTCTCTCTCTCTGTCTCTCTCTCTGTCTCTCTCTCTCTCTCTCTCTCTCTCTCTCTCTCTCTCTCTCTCTCTCTCTCTCTCTCTCTCTCTCTCTCTCTCTCTCTCTCTCTCTCTCTCTCTCTCTCTCTCTCTCTCCCTCTCTCAAATACACACAATTTTGGACGACACAACGGTAACACGAATCGGGAAAATTCAATTTAACAAACTTACTGAAGAAATCAGTGACAGAACAAATGTTTGGCTGCGTTTGGCTTGTGAGAACATGTGTGGCGAAGCGGCATCTCCCACCCACTGCCTCTCACAACTTCAACCAACAGTATAAACAGCTTTTGTCTTCACCGGAGGGAGAGGCAGCCAGCAAGTGGCAGCAATAATGCAGTTGGAGGCAGCTATCAGCGT